GGGGCCATGCTAATCTTCTCTGTGTCGTTCCAATTTTAGTATATGTGCTGCTGAAGCGAGCACTGTTTCTCAGCTTTTATCTTCATTTAAAGAAAAGTAAGATTGCTGATCCACAGGTTAGTTGGTCTTTCAAACAAGTTTCTACTGAGCATGTGAGGTTGTTGTTGAGCCCAGGAGAGTGAGGCAGAATGCAAACCTCATGGGCCCTGCCTTCCGGGATTCAGTTCCGAGTGGGAAAAAACGTTGAGTACAGGGGCTGGGCCGGACAGGAATGGGTGGTGAGAAGGCATCTGCATGCCGGGCACACACCTGTCACCTGGGCCTGTGGCCCACCTCCTCAGGCCACCTCCAGCACCTTGTTCATTTTGCTCTTAGGACCCAGCCTCGGCAGGATCCAGGGGGTACCATCAGGATGAACGGCGTCGGCGAGAGAAGACACGTGAGATCAGCCTTGACAGGGCCAAGTCTGCGAGGGAGAGAGAGAGAGAGAGAGAGAGAGAGAGAGAGAGAGAGAGTGACCAGACGGGGGGTGCAGCAGAGTCTGGCAAATCTTTATTTTCTACCGTAGCTTTTATATTCTAAGTTAGTACATTTTTTAAGGGGAAGATAGTTTAATATTACATCAGCTTATCCTTCACGAAACCAGGGTGTTTTCTGCATACTTCTTTGTGAGAGTCTTGTACACTATCTTCTGGCCTTGGGGCCTATTGACATTTTATGACCTAGGTGAATGCAAAACTGTTTTCCTGTAATCTATTCTTTAATGAACACAAAGGTCAGTCCTTTTGCAGAAGTTATCAGTTAAATTTATCTAAAAGGTTTACAACACAAAGACTCTGCAGCTCCAGTGAGGCAGCCCCTGTTTAGCATTCCTGGTTAAAATTAACAATTCTGAACTCTTATTTTTCTAAATCTTTAACTATAACCACTTTTAGAATAATATTTTTGTGTTCTGTAATAGAGCTTCTTCACCCCCCAGAGGGCTCTGTGCCTATTAGGGCCTTTGTGTGATCAGGTTCTTTATGCTGTTTATGATTAAGGTGTTGTGAGCAGTCATGTACTTTAGTACGCATTTGCCAAGCAGGCTAGAATGCCAGCAAAGGGGTCTAAATTGAAACACTCCTTTCATCCTGGATAATCTTATAGGATACCGCCGTCCAGCAGACATATTAATTAAAGTTCTAAGTTAATTCTGTTTGGAGAGAGATCGGGGAAGGCCTTCTACCCGTGTCACAGAAATTAGGGAGTAGTCTAATATAGCAAGCATCAGAAAGACAGAGATCATCTTTAAGGTGAGCGCCGGGGCAGCTTTTCGAAATCCCTGAAGTCCTGCTCTGCCTTGCTTGTCAGGTCTTCTCCTCACAACCTTGTCATGGGTGGGGTCTCGTGTGCTGGCTCCCGGCACCCTGACCTCAGATATACTCTCCTAGGAGACTCAGGGAAATCCTGCTTCTGTTCAGGGTTCTAGGATCTCCTGGCTCCTCCTGCCAGCTTTCAAGCCAAGCAAGGCTAAGTCCAAAAGGCATTCCTGGAGATAGCAAAGGAACCCTTAGAGCTAGGCGTTGACACAAACCAACCAATCCAGAGCCCACACTCCCGACTATCTCCTTTACAAGACTCTCACATCACACCAGTGCTTCCCTGCCCTAAGTCACAGCAGGGGCAGGTATCAGATCACTGGAGATGACCCAGTAGCCTGCTGAAATTATTCAAGCACACGGCCCTAATCCTCCTCAGTGTCATTGCCCTGCCTTGCCCATTCCTTTCGCAGAAATCCCAGTAAGGGCTCTGGGCCAACCCTTCCCTCCTCTCTTTCTCTTCCTGACCAACCCAGTGCTTCCCTGTGTGCCCCTGCATGGTGTGCCCTGCCTCCTCCCATTTCTAGACACCTGTGAATATAAGAGTCCACCCACATTTCTGACGTCTTCAGTTCAGTTCAGTTGCTCAGTCGTGTCTGACTCCTTGCGACCCCATGAACCACAGCACACCAGGCCTCTGTGTCCATCGCCAACTCCCGGAGTTCACCCAAACCCATGTCCATTGAGTTGGTGATGCCATCCAACCATCTTCTCCTCTGTCGTCCCCTTCTCCTCCTGCCCTCAATCTTTCCCAGCATCAGGGTCTTTTCAAACGACTCAGCTCTTCTCATCAGTTGGCCAAAATATTGGAGCTTCAGCTTCAACATCAGTCCTTCCAATGAACACCCAGGACTGATCTCCTTTAGGATGGACTGGTTGGATCTCCTTGCAGTCCAAGAGACTCTCAAGAGTTTTCTCCAACACCACAGTTCAAAACTGTCAATTCTTTGGCACTCAGCTTTCTTTATAGCCCAACTCTCACATCCATACATGACCACTGGAAAAACCATAGCCTTGACTAGACAGACCTTTGTTGACAAAGCGATGTCTCTGCTTTTCAATATACTGTCTAGGTTGGTCATAACTTTCCTTCCAAGTAGTAAGCGTCTTTTAATTTCATGGCTGCAAGCACAATCTGCAGTGATTTTGGAGCCCAGAAAAATAAAGTCAGCCACTGTTTCCACTGTTTCCCCCATCTATTTGCCATGAAGTGATGGAACCATATGCCATGATCTTAGTTTTCTGAATGTTGAGATTTAAGCCAACTTTTTCACTCTCCTCTTTCACTTTCATCAAGAGGCCTTTAGTTCTTCTTCACTTTCTGCCATAGGGTGGTATCATCTGCATATCTGAGGTAATTGATATTTCTCCCAGCAATCTTGATTCCAGCTTGTGCTTCCTCCAGCCCAGCATTTCTCATGATATACTCTGCATATAAGTTAAATAAGCAGGGTGACAATATACAGCCTTTTCCTATTTGGAACCAGTCTGTTGTTCCATGTCCAGTTCTAACTGTTGCTTCCTGACCTGCATACAGGTTTCTCAAGAGGCAGGTCAGGTGGTCTGGTATTCCTATCTCTTTCAGAATTTTCCAGTTTATTGAGATCCACAGTCAAAACTTGTGGCATAGTCAATAAAGCAGAAATACATGTTTTTCTGGCGCTCTTTTGCTTTTTCTGAAGTCTTACCATCCCTGATTAAAACAAAATCCACATACATTTTAACTCATCAGGAGATTCCTGAGTGTTGGGGGATAGTGACAGCCTTCAGCGGCTCTGTCCCACTTCACTGAAAATGTTATTTCCCTGTGCCATCTACTAAACTACAGAAAGTGGCCTTGGAAACACATCTTTTTAAAAATATATATACATATTTTGGCCACACATCTTGTGGGATCTTAATTCCCCAACCAGCAAGTGAATCTGTGTGCTCAGCAGTGACAGTGTGGAGAACTAATGACAGCATTGCCAGGGAATTAATTATTTATTGATTGATTTTTGGCTGTGCTGGGTCTTTCTTGCTTTTGCATGGGCTTTCTTTAGTTGCAGAAAGCAGGTCTACTCTTCATTGCCATGGGCAATGTGGGCTTCTCATTCTGGTGGCTTTTCTTGTTGCGGAGCACAATCTCTAGGCACGTGGGCTTCAATAGTTCTTGTACCCCAGTTCAGTGATTGTGGCTTAGTTGTTCCGAGGAATGTGGAATCCTCCCGGACCAGGGATCAAACCTGTGTCCCCAGCGTGGCAGGTGAACTCCCGTCCACTGCACCACCAGGGAAGTCCTCAAAAATAACTTTCAAGCTTGGCTTTTCCCCTGGGAACACTTACAGCTCAGAATCCTAATCCCAGGCTGGAAATAGCTGGAAAGTGATTTGGGTTTGCCCAGAGAAGAGGCACTGTGACCATTTAGGGGACCATGCAGTCTGTTTGCTCAGTGGGTCCAAGGCTCAGTGAGGATTATGGAACTCAGGTGTGGAGGCCCTGGAATGGCCTGCAGTGGACAGACGCAGTCTCCTTCACCCAGCACCCAGGTAGCACCCTCAGCACCCTGGTCCCCATACCTCCCACACTGCCAGGTGTCTGCCAGGTGGACACTCTGGGCCAGACTCTTGTGGCAGCTGAGGTGGTCTGTCATCAGTCTGAAGATCCCAGTGTCAGCCCTGGCTCCCCCTCTTGCTCCCTGGATCAGCCTCACCTTGAGTAGGAGTGCTCCCCTCACCTTGAGGGGGTGGGCTGGGGCCCAGGTTTGCCAGGACCTCCTAGCTCAAGATGGTGCAGTGTGATGACACTCCAGCAGAAGGGGGACCCAGTAGGTCAGGACACCAGTGAGCTCAGGGTGCCTGAGTACTTGGCTAGGGGTTAGGGTTAACAAGCAGGTGTACACCCAGTCCTTTCCCATTCTCCATTTCATCATCTATTCATCCTTTGCACAGATGCTCTCAGAGTTATCAGGGAGGATGTGGAGATGGGAGAGCTGAGAATTGTTCGACATCTGGAGGCATGGGGTAGGGGACCCAGGCTACATCACGCAGGCGCCCACGGAAAAGAGCTGGTTCCTCTGAGCATATTAAGTTTCCCCTTCCACCTCCCCTAGGAGTCTGTCCAGGAACTGACTCTGTCCACCTTCCTTGGACTTGCACTCATTCACCATGGCTTTGCCAGGGACCCCAGGGTTTGGATCATCAATGAGGCTGGTGTCAGGGCCTTCCCCCCGACCTTGCCGCTCCAGGGCTGTCCAGTGTGAAAAGTTCCAGGAGCCCAGACCTCACGGGAAGCTGTGGCCTCCGAAGACGCGCGCAGCGACCTCCCCAAAGCTGAGCTGGGCTGCCAAAAGGGAGGCTCCTGCCGAGTCCCAAAGAAGTTGGGGTTCCCTCCCCCTACACACAGGACCGCGTGGGTCTGGGAGAACACCCAGAACGAGCTGCCCCAGGAGCCAGACGAAGCTGGAGTGGGAGAGAGCACAGTGAGGAGCAGTGTTGACCTGACACCCGGGCACGCCGCCCTTCGCCTGAGGGCCCACCGCCTCAGGTCTCTCGGCGGGTCCTAGGTTATCCCGCTGCCTCGAGCCCAACGACGCAGTCAAGGACCTCAGCCAGACGTCCCGGTTGACGTCTGCCCTAGGCCTCTCCTCCTGGTGGTCCTCACCCTTTCTGCAGCCCTCCCAGCCTCATCTCTGGGCTGTCGGTGTCCCTCCACATTCTGCGGTGCCCGCGGCCCAAGACATCTCCACACCAAGGTCAGGAACACCTACTCTCTCCACAGTGCTCCTCTGCGCCCCACCTGGCCTCTCGCCCCCGTACTACACTGGGCACAGCTGGGGCAGCGGCGTCTCTGTAGTCCTGGAGCCTGGAACAGGCCCAGCAGGCGCGTTCTGCCCGGCAGCAGCCCGCACACAGACCCAATGCGGGGACCAGCGGCCCGGAGTGTGACCAGAGGTGCGCGGGTACGGTCCGGGCGACCCTCAGGCCGCTCTCCTCCGGCTTCGTCCGGGTCTGCTCCCTGGCCCCCGGCCACACAGCGGCGGGCCCGGGCCCTCACTTTCCCTCGGTCCCAGCCCCGCCCTCCTTGATATGTGACCCCTCCCTCCTTGACCTGTGGCCCCGCCCGCTCCGTGCGCTGTCGGTTCCCAAGCTATCTGGCCCCGCCCCTTCTCCGGCTCCCCGGGTTGGGGGGCAGGCTGGGAACCACAGAGTCGGCCGGGCCTCCGAACCGCCCAGAGCAACCGGAAGTCGGCGGGGCGAGCGGCCGCGAGCGGCCGAGGCCCGTTTCCGGCGTCGTCGCGCTGCTAGAGTCTCTCGCTGGCCCCGGGAGGGTGAGTCGGTGATGAGGGCGTCGGTTAGGGTCGGGGCTACCCACGTGCCCCTCCCCCTTGAGCTTAGAGGTCTCCCACCGGCCCCCGCGCTCCCCCGGCCTCTCCGCGGGGAAGCGCTAGTGGAGCGGGCGGCTCTGCGAGCCCGTTGGCGCCGGGTAGGGCGGTGGTCGTGGTCGAGCCTTGGCCGTCTTGGCCGGGAAGAAGCGGGAGGGGTCATCCCGCAGATCCGGCCTCGCTGCAGCCTCGTAGCCTCCCCTCCGGTTCTAGGCATGCTCCAGCCTGCATACCCATCATCTCCCTCGGGGGCACTCTTTTACCCTCTCTCACTGCTCCTCCAAGACCTAGACTTCGTGAAGGTAGCCAAAAGGGCTATGTCTTGGGGTCGTAGGCTATGTATTTTCTCTTAATTCTGGCTGCCACTTAGGGTCTGTACTTCTCTACAGGGGACCCAGGATCCAGCACTTGGGAGGCACATGCTTGCTTCTGGCCAGGCCGAGGTGGGGAACCGCTTGACAGTGGTCACTGCTGTCTGAATCAGCTCCTGGCCTAAAGCTTCTTCCCTCAAGCCGCTTTTGGAGTTAAAATCTCCCCTAGGAAGTCCATTTCCCTTTCTGACCTCCCAGGAGGATGCTAGGGGAGGGGTCAGGTTTTTGTACGAGGGTTGGGGTGTGGTCAGGTGTCCCCTCCTCTATTCCCTACAGTCCATCCTGCTGGTTCCTGTCTACTCCAGCTGCCAGGCACATCATGACTCATCTTGCTGCCTGAGATCTTGCCCCACTGGCTCATTCAGCCCTAGTACTTCGTGCCTCAGAGGGTCCTTCCTGCCTCTGGCCCTTGCACACTCTGTTCCTGCTGCCAGGAGTTCCCTCCCCACCCCCATTGGCACCGAGTTAGCACCTAGCGGAAGTGACCCATCAGACTAAGTCAGCGTTTCCTAGTTTAAATGCTTTCTGAGTCCCTTGTACTTGTGCTGTCGTCCCAGTTGTAATTTTGGTTTGTTTCCATAGTCAGTTAACTTTCCCCCACTAGGCTGCTCCAAGAAGGTAGAGTCCTTCTGTGTTGTTCAGTACCACATCCCTGTTGCGTAACCGAGTGCCTGGTACACGTGGCAACTACCCATTACATGTTTGTGGAGTAATTCTTCCATGTCACACTCTCTGAAAGATGAATGAAGCTTCGGAGGGCAGATACTGCAGTGCTACCGCCATTTTGGCCCCACTGCAAGTCCCTGCCAGAGAACACTTGGAGTTGGAAGTAAAAGATTGGAGGATACGGTACCCCCTCTATTAGTCTGGAAGTGAGACGTTGGGGCCTCCAGGATCGTGACCTCTGACTGTGGTAACTGCCAACAGGGCTCTCAGCCAGGACACGTGGATTCCCACCCACCAAGCCTCATGGTAGGAGTCTGACTTCCCCTGTTCCCTCCCTCGTCTTGTGAGGCCCCTACCTGCTCCTCTGGGCACCTATTGTGCCCAGTGGGCCTGGACCTAGACCCTCGGCCTCTTGCTGACCCCTTGCCAGTCTCGGGTGTCTCCAAGGTAGTGAGCAAACCCTGCTCAGATTGGGCCTGCCTGAGGCTCTTGGGGAGGGTTTGTAGATCCCCATGGTCTGGGTCCCTCCCTGTCCTCCATACTGTCCCTCCCCTTGATTTTATTTTATTTTTTGGCCACACTGCACAGCTTGCAGGATCTTACTTCCCTGACCAGGGATTGAGCCTGTGCCCCCTACAGTGGAAGCAGAGTCCTGACCGCCAGACGGCCAGGGAATTCCTTCCTCCCCTCGATTTTAAAACAAAAGGGGCCTGATGACTGTCTCACTCAACCTTGTGGTCTGTGTGCTTGAGACAGCCAGGAGACTGGTGTGTGTCCTTTCAGGAGGCTGTGACATTTGGTGATGTGGCCGTGCACTTCTCGCGGGAGGAATGGCAGTGTCTGGACCCCGGCCAGAGGGCTCTCTACAAGGAGGTGATGCTTGAGAACCACAGCAGTGTGGCTGGACTAGGTGAGGCTTTATTTGGACACCCCTACCCCTTCCATCATCAGTCAGCACCCACCTATTTTGGCCTGTGTTAGAGACTGCAGATCTGGAGGCCATGTGGTCAAAGGCTAGGCAGGGGCTCGGGACTGTGAGTCCTTGTGGGTCAGAAGCTGACCCCAGAAGGAGTCTCGGTGAGCCAGGCAGGCTCCCAGGTTTGCATACGTCATGTGATTCAGTGCTCACAGGGTAGGTGGACTTTCTGCCTGAGTGAATAGAAATAGAATCCAAACTTGAAATAGCTTAAATAGCTAATCAGATTTCTTGTTGTTTCTTGAGTTTAGTATTTACCTGTTCTGTGTTTACCATTTTTGTTTCTAGTTGGTGTATTTAAAAACATGAAATTTTATGCATAAACATCACTTCAGCTGCATACTACAGATTTTGACTCATAGTAAAGACAGTTGCCACTTACTAATTCATCACATAGTTTCTGGATAGTAATAGTTTTGAGCCACCCACTGTGATCGCTGTTGTGTCCAGCTGCACTTAGATCAGGTGCAGTCTGTGGTATTGTTTCATGGCCTTTGCCCGACCCCCTTGCTGGCTGCCCGGGGACGTTTCTCTGTGAGCAGCACACGTGTGCTTGGCAGGAACCTATTTCCTCTTGAATGTGGGGTCCTGCTCTCACCTGAGCCTTTGACCTTCTCTGCCTGCTGCCTTCTCCACCCCATGGCTGAAAACCTGAGGAGTGCTCTAGCCCAAGGGCTTGACCAGCCCTTGGGTGGGCTGGGAGCACTTCACACAGCTGCCCCACAGCATGGGGGCTACTGGCCCCAGAAGGCAGGTGCCGGGGGGTGCCCGCTGGTCTCCAGCCCTCTGTTGAGTCCCTGGGCTCTGTGTGAGGACTTGAGGCTGGGGCTGCTGGCTGATGATTGGGCTTCACACCTTCTGATTTAAAATCCATTTTGTTGGTTGATTTGTTGTTGTATTGTTTCTTAAGCAACCCTACCTCTTGGAGCATCCCTGAGGGGACTGAGGGAAGTGCTGGCTGTGCCTGCGCCTCTCCCCATGTGGGAGAGCTGGCCTGTGTTCTGCAGACTTGGGTGACAGGACTCCCTGGCTATCCTGGCCCTGTCTCCCTTTGCAGCAGGGCCAGACTGGGAGTCCACACATTCCTCTCTGTCCAGCCTCAGGAGGCAGCAGGTCTGGACAGGAGGCCCCTGTGCTCCAGTAGCCCCAACCCTTCACTCCTGGGGACCAGGGAGAACTGAGCCCCGAGCAGCACTCCCAGCCACAGTGATGCCGTGTCCTCCTCTGCTGCCCCCACAGCAGGATTCCTGGTCTTCAAGCCTGAGCTGATCTCCCGGCTAGAACAGGGACAGGAGCCATGGGTCCTCGACCTGCAAGGAGCAGAGGGGAGAGAGGCAGCCAGGACCACCCTGACAGGTGAGGCTTCTGGGCACAGGAGGGATTCAGAATCTCCATGCCCGGCGAGGGCTCAGGTGGGAAGCTGGAGGGGGACCCCAGAGGCCATCGATGCAGCTTTGACTGAGCTGCCTGGGGATGCTGTGGGGTGCACCTAGGCGGCCAGTCATGGGGCGTAGGCCAGTCATGGGGCATTCTCAGGAAAGACTAAACTACAGAAAAGCAAGGGCATAGCATTCCTGTGCATTATGGCAAGACAATTTGTTTTTGAACCATGTTTTGTTCAGTTTGAATTTTACTAATATTAAGCAAAGGCACACATGTGACTCTGAGCAGCTGTTCACCTCCCACTGCCACGCTCCCTCCAGAGTTTCATGGGGTCTGGGTGAGCCCAGCCTCTCAGATGAAGTTCCGGGGCTGGGTTGGTGTCCTGAAGCTGCTGTAACAAAGCACGCAAACTAGAGGCTTACCACAGCCGAGACTCATTGTTCCTTCATTGTGGGGACCACATGTCCAAGATCAAGTCACAAGCAGTGTCGTGTCCCCTCTGAAACCTAGAGGGGAGGATCCTACCTGCCTATTCCAGCTTCTCGTGGCCCCAGGTATTCCTTGGCTGGTGGCCACATCCCTCCATACCTCCATGTGGAGGGCAAGCAGGGAGGTGGGCCCTCTGGAGAGCCCCGGGAAGGAGGCATCAGTGTAGCCCAGTGTAGTCACTGTGGCCACCTGGAAGCTGAGGGGCAGGGCAGCAAGGGACGGACACAGCAGTGTGAGTCAGAGGGCATGACTGGCAGCGGCTGGAGGGTGTGGAGGTCAGGCTCTGGGCCCTGCTCAGAACCGCACCCAGTGGACAGTTGAGGCCCACCTCTCTTGGACTCACCCCTGTGTGGCCCTTAGCAGCTTTGGTGCCTCATTTTTCTCAGTACATAACAGCCCTCTGTTCAGTTTTCAGTCCCTCTTTCCTCCTCACTCTACTCTCAAAGGCACCCTAACCCTGCCTCTTATCCTCCACCCTTTTGGGCTCCTTTGCTCCCTGTGGGTTGTCCTTGTGCTCACTCCCTATGAGATGGCCTCTCCCCCGCGTAGGAGAGGGGCCCTCTGCAGTCTTCCGGGTACACAGTAACTGCATGAGTGCATTAAGCATGAGCAGAACCAGATCCCGACCGCTGCCCAAAGGCATTGAGTTCTCATCGCAGCTTTCCAATGCTCAGCGCAGCCTGTCCCGGGGGGGGCTCAGTCCAGGGTGGTGTGCGCCCCACAGCCCAGTCTCCTTCCTCTGACGGGGGGTTCGCAGCAGTTTGCTTCCTGTTCGTTTCAGATTCTACAGTTGGGACTGACGGTGAGCAGGCCTGTGAGGACTCGGACAGTCTTAAATCGGAATCCAGGGGGGTCATGGTCAAAACCTTGCCCCGGGACTTTCCCCAGAGTCCTGGCTTTGGAGATACCTCAGATCCTGAAGTCTGTTCACAGACACAGCCAAGCTCCCTCTTCCATAAAAACTTCCTGAACACGGGGACCACGGCTCCCAGGAAGGCCTTCGCCGAGGACGAGTTCCAGGGTCATGGTGAGCGGGGGAGCAGTGGCCGCCTGGGTTGTCAGCCTGATCAAAGTCAGGGGTCCTTCCGAAGGTGTGATGTATGTGGCAGGAGCTTGCGATCTCCTTCAGATGTTGCTCTGCACCAGGAAATGAATACCCAGCAGAAACCCAACAGATGCCAAGAGTGCCAAAAAAAGTTATCTGATTGCTTTCAGGGGAGACAGCCGAGTACCTTGTCTGGAGAGAAACCGTATGAATGTAGAGAGTGTGGGAAGGTCTTCAGGTTGTGCTCACAGCTTACTCAGCATCAGAGGATCCACACTGGAGAGAAGCCGTTTAAGTGCACCGACTGTGGGAAGGCCTTTCGCCTGAGCTCAAAACTTATTCAGCATCAAAGGATTCACACTGGGGAGAAGCCCTACAGGTGCGAAGAATGTGGAAAAGCCTTTGGGCAGAGCTCCAGCCTCATCCATCATCAGAGGGTCCACACGGGAGAGAGGCCCTATGGCTGCCGGGAGTGCGGGAAGGCCTTCAGCCAGCAGTCTCAGCTGGCCAGGCACCAGAGGACCCACACGGGAGAGCGGCCCTACCCGTGCCCAGAGTGCGGCAAGGCCTTCAGCCAGAGCTCAACCCTAGCTCAGCACCAGCGGGTGCACGCTGGGGAGAAGGTTGAACTCCCGAGGACCCCGGAGAGCCCCAGCCTGGGTGCACGTCAGAGGATGCATGCTCCCGAGAAGCCATTTAAGTGTGACGAGTGTGGGAAGGCTTTCCGGTGGGTCTCCCGCCTGAGTCAGCATCGACTGACACACACTGGAGAGAAACCTTATAAATGCAACAAGTGTTCGAAAGCCTTTGGTTGCAGCTCACGACTTATTCGCCACCAGAGAACTCACACTGGAGAAAAACCGTTTAAGTGTGATGAGTGTGGGAAAGGCTTTGTCCAGGGCTCACACCTCATTCAGCATCAGAGGATTCACACCGGGGAGAAGCCTTACGAGTGCAGTGACTGCGGGAAGGCCTTCAGCCAGAGCTCGAGCCTCATTTACCATCAGAGGATCCACAAGGGGGAGAAGCCCTACGAGTGCCTCGAATGTGGAAAAGCCTTCAGCATGAGCACACAGCTCACGATACACCAGAGGGTGCACACGGGTGAGAGGCCGTACAAGTGCAGCGAGTGTGGGAAGGCCTTCAGCCAGAATTCCACCCTTTTTCAGCACCAGATTATTCATGCTGGGGTGAAGCCCTACGGGTGCAGCGAGTGTGGGAAGGCCTTCAGCCGGAGTTCATACCTGATCGAGCACCAGCGGATCCACACACGTGCCCAGTGGTGCCGTGAGTACGGGGGCACCCTGGAGGCTTCCACCCACGCGAGTCGGAGGAGAGTTAATACTGTAAAGAAACTTCACAAATGTAATGAATGTGAGAAAATATTCAGATGGCGGTCACATCTCATTATCCACCAGAGAATTCACACTGGAGAGAAACCTTACAAATGTAATGAATGTGGCAAAGCTTTTAATAGGAGCTCAAGGCTTACTCAGCATCAGAAAATTCACATGGGCTAGACCACTTACCTTTACAAATGTGTATAAATGTGAATAAACCTACAGCCTTAACTTATTTGACATGGGATCTTTTACACTGAAGATGTAGAACAGTGGGGAATATTCAGAATTGCTCTCTTAGGGAGTGTTGAGATTCACACATGGTGTATGTTTTTGCTGGCACGTTTGACCTTATCCCCTTCAATAAAGCTCGTGTCTCTCACATCAGGGTGACACGTGTAGCATTTGAGTTCTCAAAGGGATGACCCTGGGCCTTGCAGAAGAGGCATGAGAAGAGCCCCAGCAGCCCCACCAGAGGAGTGGTATGAAAGATGTTTCCCGGGACGTCTTCCTTAGGCCACAGGTACTCAAGCCTAGCTTCTGCAGCAGGGATGTGTTTGTGCAGGGCTGCTGGAGGGGTACCCGGGCTCCCCTTTTGCTCTCTCCACCGGATACGCCTCGCAGAGCAGCCCTTCTCTTCAGGGAGGCGCTGGGTCCATGCAGGCATGCCAGGAGCAGCACCCAGGGCTGGGGAAAGTGTCCCTGGCCTGCTGTAAGTCCAGAACCCAGTGTCCTCCCCGAGCGCTGTCTTACAGTGGTTACAAGAATGAAAGAGCAGCCCTGAGGACGCCACCAGAGGCATATCCTCAAAACACCAGCCACATGGACCACCGGAACTGGAAGGTCTGCAAGCAGACGTGTGAGCCGGTGCCTTTGCCCAGGCCGATGGCTGGTGGAGACGCCTGATCACCAGGATCAGCATTGGGATGTGGCCTCACGGGCCCCACAGGTCCCAGGGCAGAGGGCCTGTGGGTGCCGAGCACTGGGTGCCAGTGAGCAAGCCCGCTCTCCTGGCATCACCTCCTGCTCAGGTTTTCTCTGCCAGCATGGCCTGGTTTGGGTCGAGTGGTCAGAGCACGTGGCCATCTTGTCACCAGCAGGAGGAACGTGCAGGGAACATCACTGCTCTGGTTGACTGACAGGCTGGGCTGCAGAGCGGCTCCTGGAACAGCTCCTCAAGGCCTGCGAGCCGCAGGATGAGGCTGACATGCAGCAGTGGCTCCCGCACGGCCTAGGCCCCTGGGCTGTGCAGGGGGACTCAGGATGACGAGTGTCACCAGCTGCTACCCAGGACCATCCCATGAGACCTGGCGATCTTTGGCACCATTGCTGATAATCACAGGGCAAAGGGCTGTCTCCCATGGAGGGGCCACTTCTCCCGTGTCCAACAGGTGACCCTGAGGTCACTTGAGGACTTTTATTGCAACAGGACTTGGGTTATGTCACACAGGTTGGGTTAAGCCCAGGTTCGCCTTGTGTGACATAGCCCAGTAGCAGCCTGTGGGTTTCTCTCGAGAACAAGTGCCAGCCGCTCCAGGTGCCTAGAGAGGTTGGGACAGCAGAGCCCAGGATGTTCTCAGCAAGTAGATGGGACTCAACTCCCCAGCAGCTCAGCCTGATCGGCTGCTCCCCTGGCACAAGGTGTGTAGGTCGCAGCGCCGTCTTGGGACAAGGACTGCCCCGCCTGCACCTTCGGCATGCTCCTGCCCTGGGTGGGGTGCACCGTGCAGACAGTGTGCTCTGCAGCAGCTGTGACCCCCCTCTCCACCTGTGCTTGTGTCTGAAAGTCTGTGCAAGAGGGCAGGGACCTCTCCAGACGCCAGAGGTTACGTCTCCACCTCAGCTGCTGTGCTCAGCCAGGTGGTCACTGCTTTCAGAGCCGGGCAAGGTGGGCACCTCTAAGTGGGCCATATCTTAGGCCTTTTGAGCCACCTAACAGTGGGACAAGATCAAGGTCCTGGGTGGCCATGCCACGCCCCCACCCTCTGCTGGTGCTAGGAAAGTGTCCCAAAAGGGAGGAGTCCATAGGGAGTCCTACTGGCCACTCCTGGTAATGACGCACAAAGGTGTGTAGGGCCTCTGGACGCCAGGGTCTGCACCACAGGATGCCTGTCTTTCCTGACAGCACTTGCAGGCCAGCCAAAAAGGGCCAGAGGACGCAGCCTTAAACGCACTCTAGCACCTGGACTTGGAATCAACATGGTCCTGTTGGGGGCTGGCCCACTGTGTGCCCCGCGGGCCAAATGCAGGCCTGTGCCAACGTCTGTGAAGCCTGGTGATCAGCCTGAGGACAGTGGCCTGGGACCTCCACAAAACCTGAGCTGGAGTCAGTCCTATAAATGCACACATGTCTGAGAAATTAATCACAGACAGCCAAGGAGGCTTCACCAATACAGCAGTTGCTTCCGATCAGACAGCCTCCTGGTTTTGCTTCCAGGCTGGTCGGCAGGGCTGCTGACCGCGTGGGCTTGGTGCTGCTCACAAGCCATGTGTGCTTGAATCACCTTCAGAGTGCTCATGTGCCCGTTTACCTTGTGACAGGCGTAAGAACTAAGAAGGGTTTTTACATTTTTCAGTGGTTGGGGGTGGCGTGGGGAAAGACTATTTTGTGACATTTGAAAATTATATTGAAATCAGATTTCAGTGTGACCAAATAAAGGTTCTTGGAACACAGCTGGCCCTTTGCTTGCAGGGCACCTCTGACTGCCTGGCAGTCCTGCCTCCAGCCTTTGAGGGGTTATTTTCCCTCTGTTCTTAGTGTGTTTTGTTCACTTAAGTGTCCCAGGATGACCAAAAATTCAATAGAAGTAAATCTCAAGCCCTACATTCCAGCCGGGAATTCTGGCTGCAGAAGTATTGGGTGAGGCATCTCCTTAGCTGCATGAAAAAGGTTTGTGCTATTGTGTCACCTGACGACATTGCGTTCAAACTGCTGCTGCATGGGTTTCAGATCCCAGAACACGTGTGTGTGTGTGCTGGGAGGAGAGGAGAGGGCTGCCTGCCAGGTGTGGGAGTTCTGGACTATTCTACTTCCAAGCTGTATTTCCCAATTGGGGCTTCAGGAACAGTAAACTCATTTTAAGAATTTCTGGGAATTTGTTGGCACTCCAGTAGTCAGGACTCAGCTTTCCCCTAGATCCCACAAGACGCCCAGCATGGCCAAAGAAAATCTCCAGAACACTTACAGAATAGATTCTAAAATACTTTGGATTTCTCTTTTGGAGACAATAAATTAAACTCATAATTCTAACCTGAAATTTGTCTTAATTATCAGATAAGCTTTATGATACTTTGTGCATTCTGGAAGCTTTACCAATAAAGTGGGGTGTCTGTGCAGAGTGCAGTGGGTTTTCACATCTGTGTGTCCCCTGGTGGATGTGGCCTGCACTTAAAGCCCAGGGAAAGTTTGTTGAATGAATGCTGTGTTTGAGGTACATCCAGGGTTTGAGGTGAAGCTTTACAGGCGCACAGATGAGAGAAAATGCTCCAGCGCCAAGAGTTTCCACAGAGGTCTGCATGAGGTCAAACATCTGCTCTCTGCCAGGTCTTGTTCTTGTCTGGGGACAAGGGGGCAGGGCCAGCCGTGCCTCCAAGTGGAGACCGAGCACAGGTGTGGCGGGCCAGCGCTCTGCAGCCTGGGGGAGCCCTGCGGGCACGCAGGGAGGCGGGCATTTAGAGCCACCCTCACCCCACCTGGTTTTCCATGGCCCTGGAGCTAAGAGTGGTTTTTCTGGGTTTGACTGTGCTGGGTCACAGTTGGGGCACACAGGATCTTTTAGTTGTGGCATGCAGGATCTAGATCCCTGACCAGGAATTAAACTGGGGGCCCCTGCACTGGGAGTGTGGAGTCCTAGACACTGGACAACCAGGAAAGTCCTAAGAATGGGTTTTAAATGGTTAGAACAAATTTTGTGACATGAAATCAAAATTTCAGTGTCCACAGGACATTTTATTGCGATACAATCATGCATATTGTTTTCTCTGGCTGATTTTGAGCTACAGTGGCAGAGCTAACAGAATCATGACCTGAAAGGCTAAAATATTCTCTAGCCATTTAGAGGAAAGGTCACCACACCCAATGCAGGTGAGGAGGGCCACCTCTGCTGGCCTGCAAGCCTGTGCCCCACAGCTGGAGGGACCTTCTCCAGCTGGATCACATCCACCTCGCAGCACACAGTAAAGCCAGAGGCTGTGCGCGGTCTCGAGGCTGGTGGCCCTCTACCTGGCTCCGTTCAGCACCAGGAGCCAGCAGTCCCGGGAACAGCCAGCTGCCCGTCCTCTGCTTCTCACGAAAACCTCTCTGTACAGTGATGCCTGTGTCACTGTTTGCCCGTGTGCGCCTCCTTGAGACAAGCACGAGGGCTCACAAATGGACAACCTGGGGTTGGCAGCATTAAAGCTGTCAAGAGCTCACCGGAGACCAAGGCGAGGGGTCGGCGTAGTCAGGGCCCACCACATCCAGCCTCCCGAGGATGGAGGTCAATGTTCTGGTCCAGGCATTCCTGACCAGTGACTTAAAAGGCACAGATGGTGCCTTCTGGGGATGGGGGAGAGAAGCAGGTGAGCAGGCAGAGCTCTGCACCCCCATTTAGCGGCCTGGACCCCTCAAGGGTGGAGATGACAACATGTATAGACACGGAGCCTCAGAGGGGCCCCATACCCACTGAGTCTGCTGATCCTCCAGGGCCTGGGAAGGGGACTAGCAAGGTGGACGGACACACCCACATGGCTGACTGGGGAGACAGCTGGACTTCCCTGACCGGGAGCACAGGGACAAAGAGGTCTCTGTAGCCTGGCAGGCAAAAGGGTGTGCAAACCGTAGTCCTGATGTGCGGGGCTCCGAGCCTCGGTTAGAAAAGCACCCCTGCCTGCCAGAGGATGAGGTGGGCTTCAGTTGAGAGCTCTTGTCCTCCTCCAGGGTCCCTCGGGAAGGGACCCTGTGTGTGTTCCTGCCAAGCACGTGCCTTAAAATCATGGAATCATAGCCACAGGGTCCTTCTGTGGCAGTGGAGCTCAGAGCTGGGGCACCTGGGCCAGGCTTGGACTCCAGGCCTCGTTCCTGGTTGCACCACTGAACTTTGCTATGCTAACCAGCAAAACAGACACCCCCCAGCCTGTGGACTTCTATCCTGAACGCATGTCCTCACTCTGGAGCCAGCAGCCTCAGGGGATGGGAGCCGGCATGGAGCACCTCTCTTGCCACCAGGTTCACATGCCCAGAGAAGTCAATGGATGGACAGGTAGGAAGGGAAGGTTGGCGGAGAACCGACCACCAGCTCCCCCATAAGCTGTGTGTCCTTCGGCAAGACTCAAACCTCTCTGCACTTCGTCACCATGTCGATGCCTTTGAGTTAACGGGTTAACACGAGCCTGGCGGAGTGCCTGCACCTGGTGGTTCCTTCCATCTATACCTTCTCCCCACTCGGCTGCGTCGTCAGGGCCTGGCCTATAGGGGGCGCGAAAGGACGTGCTTTGGGAAGTTACGGAGGTAATGTTCAAATCTGGTCAAGAGGGTTTCTCCATGGCTGTCTCCGGGCAAAGGAGCTTTTTTTATTCTTTTTAGTTTTGTTTGTTTTTATTTTTTAGGATTTTCCAAACATATCATAACAAGTACATATTTCTGACACATGCCTGACGGTTGAGGAAGTCACAGCAAAGAGAGCCTCCATCACTGGTTGAGGGAGATGTGGTGCTCAGCTTACTGTGCAGGTCCTTGTGGGCAGGCCTAGGCAGCAGCGAGGATGGCCTAGTCCAGCTCGTGTCCTCAGGGAAGAAGGGCCCAGGCTGCTAGCCGATGCTGGAGACTCGGGGAGTCCGCAGCCCTCGGCCGAGCTGGGACTGAGCCGCATGTGGGGCCTGGCTAGGGAAACCCCAGCTCTGAGTGCGGCCCCCAGGGCACCTCCTCTTCTCTGTCCCTTTCGCCCAACTTGCCGGGACCCTCGCTCAGGGAAAGGCCTAATTAATCAAGATCGTGGGAGCATTCTGGAAACAGCACAGAGGAAACACTGCTGCTTTTGATGGGTTCTGGCACAGAGTGGGGACAGAAAGAGGGTGCTGGGGAAGGCCAGGGGCTTCCATCACAGACATGGCAGGATGCCAGGTGGGCACCCAACCCAATTGCTATTCTTCAGAGGAAGCTCCTGCCTGATGTTTGGGCCTATTAATCCTACCAAGCTGTGACCTGGTTTCCTGGTAGAGCAAATCATAGAGGCAGGGACACCCCCAGGCCCCTACCAGGGGCGCAGTTATGCCGAGGGGACAGGGCTGGTCAAGGGCTCTGCACACTGCTGCCAGAGAGGCCTGTGCACCCCCCCTCCCCAGCACTCTTCAATTGCTGAAGCCCAATCCCCTGCTGAGCCTGTATTTAAAAATGCGTCCTCAAAAAAATAATAATAAATTTAAAAAAATTTTTAAAATGTGGCCTCCAGGGAGGTGATTAAGGTTGGATGAAGTCATAAACATAGGGCCCTGATCCCACAGGACTGGTGCCCTCTTTTTTTTTTTCCCCCATTTATTTTTATTAGTTGGAGGGGACTGGTGCCCTCTTAACAGGAGAAGAGCGCTCTCTCTCACACACACACTCATACACTGTCACATACTCACACACACATGCATACACATGCACAGAGGGAAGTTCAAAGGTGGGCGGAGAGGCCTCACCAGGACCTGACTGTGCTGGCACGCTAACCCCAGCCTCCAGAACTGCGAGCAAGTCATTTCTGTTGTTCAAGCCACTTGGTCTATGGAGGTCTGAGCTGCCTGAGCCACCCAGCCACAGACACCTGGGCGAGGCCCCCACTCCCCTCTCAGCTGCCACCACCAACTCCAGACTCCTCACCCCCATTCTGCGGCCTGCCCTCTTCAGTCAACACAGTATCTGGTGTGATCCTCTAACATGACTATCGCATCACACGCATTTCACTCAGAGTTGAGCTGAGTTCCCAGAGAGGCCCTGGGCCTGCCCCTGTGCCTCCACTCACCTCCTCCCACTTGGCCGCAGCCCCACGCCCACAGGCTTTCCCTCCGTGCAGCATCCCTGCCTCCTCTTGGCTCTGGAACCACATCCTCAGGAGAACCGCCCCAAGACCCAATTTAAAGTGCAGCCCAGCTCTCCCACTGTCCTGTCTCCCATCTCTGGAGGCTGCTGCACCTCCTGCAGCACCCACCCTCTCCTGGGCTACACTGCTTGTTTTTATTACACATTCCTCCCCTCACTCCCTCCACTAGAATGCGCTTTAAGGTCAAGGATTTAAGATGGGGAATGAAATGTGCACCCTGAAACACAGGGTTCCCAAGAGCAAAGGAGCAACAGTTTGGATGCTGAACAGCCTGTGTCCTCACAAAGGCCTTGGCCTGAACCCCAGACCACATGTGGGCCCACCAGCGCAGTGGGTGCCCTTACCTGGCAGCAAGACCGGCCGACCGCTGTGGAGAGGGCGCATGTGGTTTGATGCCTACCCAGGAGCACCTATTTTTTATTAACAGTTGCTTTACTTTCAAAAAAAAGGGAAAGACATAGCTGTCTACTTCACTTAGAGAAAGACATGGTTGCACTCCCTCACTGGAGTGCCATGTCAGAAGGGCGGACTTCGCTCTGGAAAGCCCATCTGAGACAGCCGCCTCAGCGACCAGAAGGCACTGGTGGGAGGCTCAGTCCTGCAGCTTGCGCTCGCACCTCTTCTCCAGCTCGGCCATCTCCTTCAGGACCAGGGCCACGGCAAACCGCAGCTCCTGGAATTTGGCCGTGGGAACCTCAAAGTGGAGGGCAGACCCATCCGAGAGCTTCAGGTGCATCAGGACACTCGGCTGCAGGGAGCGGGCCAGGGCGCTGGTGGAGATGGCCACGTCCACCCTCCACCGAAAGTCAGCGACGTGGGGCAGCCGGGCCCCCTGCTGCCTGGCCACAGAGTCAAGGAGAGGCCGCTGGCTACCAAACACCACACTGGCCAAGTCCACAACCAGGTCTTGGGGGATGCAAAGCTCCTGGAGCTGGTTCTTGAAGGTGTCGGGCTTCAGGCTAGCTGGGGGCAGCCGGAGGGCCTGCTGGAGCAAGGTGTGTGTGCCAGCTATCAGGGCACCCAGCTGCTCCTCAGGCAGGTCAGCACCAGCCCTGAGGTGCCGCACGGCCTCCCGGCAGTCTTCTCCCTGCAGGCTGCTGACCACCAGCTTCAGCAATTTTCTGAACGTGGCCCTGTCCAAGTCCCCCAGGAGCCGGGGCATTGCTGCCACCTCTGGGGGCAACTGGGCCCCCAGGAAACTCACGCAGTCACTGTGACTGTCACCAGGGCGATGCAGGTGTGCAGCAGCAGGACCCACAGCAGACATCGATGCTTCCTGCTCTTTGACAGGCAGCCTAGTAGGTCTCAGCTGAGCCGGCCTGGAAGGGGTGCGAGAGAAGCCCAGTGACCCCCACACCCTTTGGGCCAGTGAATGAGGACTGACAGGGTCTCCACCTCCCGGATGCTGATGGTATGAACCACTGATGACAGTCAGTGTGACCGGAGGTGCCCTGGAAACACGTGGCAGAAGGCCCTCTCTAGTCCCTGAAAGAGGGGAGGCAGAAAACAGCTGAAAATGAAAATGAGGTGAGGATAAGAAAAGGAAGAGAACGAGGAAAAGGAGAGCACACATTAGTTCTTCAAATAAACATCGGATTAAAGAATGAAAGAGAAGCGAGGTCCAGAGAACACAAGGACACAACAGCCACTGTCACTGCCGACTGAAGCCATTCATCTACTCTGCCTCCGCGCCTCGCGCGGCTCTGCCACCAACAAAGAAATCAGGCGCAATCACTCAGGTCGAGGATCAGAACTCAGGCTCGTTCACTCAGAAGTCCCTTCGGTTTTCGCACAGCACTGGGGGACCAGATGGCGCCTCTCAGACAGAAGGGGCTAAGGCGCACGCGGCAGCAGAGGTGCGGGCAGTATCTGAGAGGTTACCTGAAGGCCGGCAAGACGCCCCACCCCTTGTCCTGCAGGAGCACCCCGCGCACCGCAGCCGCACCGAGTGCCGAGCAGAGCCGTCCTCAGTAAGGCGGCCCGGGGGAAAGGGGGGCTCTCCAGGCTTCCTCGCACCCCGCTCTCCCGGGAAGGCCTAGCGCCCCTCACCCTGGCCGTCAGCGACAAGCCACTGCCGGAACTCCGGGTTTTCCTTCAGGGCCTGGTCTGTGCCGGGACAACCTTCCACTGCCCCGCCGCCAGCCGCTCGGGCTCCACTCCCGGGAGGCCAGTGCGCTGCCTCCAGGCTCGAAGGAAGGAGCCCCCGAGGCGTCCTCCAAGCTTCGCCGGAGCCACCGCCCCACCAGCGGTCAGCGACCTTCGGCTCCGCCCCGAACTACAGTATCGGCTTCCTGCCTCCCGGGCTCTCGCCGTTCCGCGGGCAGAGCAGCCCTCTCCCACCCTGCAGCCCGCTCCCCGCGCCGCCTCCGAACCTTACGCCCGATCCCGAGCCCGGAGCAGCACCGCGAATAGCCAGAAGCAGGACCTGGTTCCCGGAACCGACTGGGAGGCGACGCTCGCCACGCCCTACCCCTCTCCACGGGCCGCTCTAGGGCTGCTGGAGGACTGTTCTTGGTGCTCCGCGATCGGAGGGGCGAGGCCCAGGCGCCGCGTCCGCGGGAAGCTCTGCGGTTTCCGCGGCCAGCTCTGAGGTTTCCGCGGCCGGCTGTGGACCGAAGAGACGCTGTCGGCTCCGGGGTGTGGGGGCGCGGGAGGGGGTGAGTGTAGACTCTGGGCCGCGAGGCTCGCCTGCACAAAAATGTGAGCGAGCTTCGCCTCTCAGTTGTTCTCTTTGAATGACGGAGTGTGCATTTATCTCCATGGAGTGATATTTTAGAAGTCAATGAGGGACGTTCCTTGGCGTTCTGGTGGTTGGGACCTCGGCGCTTTCACTGCCTTGGCTCAGGTTCAAGACTGCAAGCCGCGGGGTGGGGCCCCCCCAAAAGTCAATGAAAACAAGGCAGACAAGTCCGCAAAATGAGCAAGGGGGTTGAATAGACATCTTAGAGAAGAACAATATAAAATGCTGATGAGCACCTGAAGAGATGTTGGGCTTTGTTGGCCATTAAGGAAATGCAAGCGGAAGCCACACAGAGTTGCCATTTCATACCATCAGTGTGGATACAGTCAGACAAATCATGTGTTGAATGTGCCCCACCCCTCAACTCTTATGTAGAAACCCAGTGTGACCCTATTTGGAAATTGAACCTTTTGGGAAGTATTTAGGTTAGGATGGGATTAGTGTCCTGCAGACTTAAAAAAAAAAAAAATTACACAATGTGAGAGTTGTGAGTTAAATTTTATTGGGGGCAAAATGAGGAATACAGCCTGGGAGACAGCATCTCAGATAGCTCTGAGAAATTGCTCCAAAGAGGAAGAGAGGAGGTCAATATATATATGTGATTTTGGTGAAGGGGGAGTATATGTGACAAAGCACATATTTGTTGCAGAATTTTTCTGCTAGTCACAAGGAGCAGTAGTGACTTGTGAACCATGAAGGATTTTAGTGCTTTTCTAGATATGAGGAGATACAAGAATTGGGCTCATGAAATCATCTTCTGAAAATATCTACTTGAAGACATGTTCTGCCAGTTTTTCCCAGAGCACAGAGTGTCATTTCTGCTCTCCACTCTCAGCTCTTTTCAGAGGGTGTTGAAAATCAGTAGCTCCAGCAGCACATGATTTAATCCTTGAAGAGGTAGATGACAAGTGCCAATTTGTAGTTGACAGCCCTTTAAGAAGAGACAGAGTGGTGACTAGCCCTGTCGACTCTGAGGATACAACCAAAAGCTGCCCTCTTCCAGAGGATCTTCCTGAGTCAGGGATCAAACCCACGTCTCCTGCAGCTTCTGCATTGACAGGTGGCTACTTTACCACTAGCGCCACCTGGGTAGTCCTGAATGGGGCATGTGCAAGCCTTATTCTCCACCATGGTCTGGCTCACCTTCCCTACCAAATCACAGGTAAAGAGTCTGCAGATGGGAGTTATGGTCTTGGTTGGAGCCCTAGTGTTTGCATTTGTAAAATGAAAGTTTATTTATTTTTTTTAATCTCAAAGAGCTCTAGAGTTCAGCCAAGGAGGGTACCTCAGGAGCTAGCAAGGCAGGAGCTTTCAAGTGGTCCTAGTTTTGAAAATTGAAATTAATGATGTCAGGTTTACTGGGACAAGAATGTCAGTAGGAAAATTCACAGTTAAGCACCCCCAGGGTTAAAAAAGAGGAGAGAAATAGAAACCAAAGCTTCCAACTTGGAAATGATGCTGTGGCAGCTCTGGGGTCTTGGCCAACATGGAAACGACAGATTAGGCCCAAGTGACTCCAGGATAGTGGTGGGAACTGAGGCTCCTCCAGCGCTGGAACTTCAGAGGGCCCTTATCCTCTGTGTAAAGATGAATGAGAAAACATTCCATTTCCTTGCACAGAGATGCTGGGCATCTCCATGAACAAAGGAAATGGAGCTGGGAGTACAAGCAGGCCAAGGTGGCTAGAGTTCAAAGAGAGCAGAAGAAACTACTAATACTGCAAACTGAAGGAAGCATTCACAAACAAGCATTTGGAGATAACAAAAACTTAAAATCATATCTTTCAAAACTAAAAATGAAAATGAACCCCCTCAAAAAAAAAAAAGAGAGAGAAAAAAAAGGAAGAAATGCAAGGAGTGATCAAATGAAGAAAGGGAACTTTTTAAAAAGTATTTTCAAGCCATATATCCAACCTGCTTCCAGATGGTTCAGGAAAAAAACAAGAAATATAAATGTGGAAAAAGTTAAAATTTGATTAACCTGAATTAAGGTTATCTGGGAGTTCTCTGCATTATTGCAACTTATCTGTAAATTTTAAAGTATTTCAAAATAAAAAGGAATCTCTCTGCCAATGCAGGGGACACAGGTTGAATCCCTAGTCAGAGAAGATGCCACATGCTTTGGAGCAGCTAAGCCCGTGTACCACAACTATGGAGCCTGTGCTCTGGAGCCCACATGGAAAAAAGAGAAGCCACTGCAACAAGAAGCTACCACTCACTGCAACTAAAGAAAGCCCGCGTACAGCAATGAAGACCCAGTGCAGCCAAAAACACAAAAAAACCACAACTAAATCTATGTGATCCAAAAGCAAGAAATATGGACTTGCAGAAGATAGCTATACAAATACCACAACACCTGCTGCTGTTCCCATACTTAGGAAACAAATTCCATGGAGTCAGGAGAAACAAACCAATAAATAAATAAATTGTATCTCAATAATGCTGTTAAAAAAATTTTTTTTTAAGTCAGGCTGTCTTATTTTCCAGGCACAAAAATCAAAGGATGTCTGAAGGCTGTTTAACGTCTCAGCAGCCGGCCTTATGCAGGGGAGGAATAAGAGTGGGTGTGGGTGCCACCAGTCACCTCTAAACTTCCTAGGACCAATGGAGCTGAGCCCCTGGCCCTGTCAGAGGACTGCAGGGTGACTTGGGCCAAGCTTCTCAATTCTGTGCCCAGCTCCACCTGGAAGACAGAATGATGACAGTGCCTACAGAAAAGGAAAAATTAAGCCAAGCCTAGTATGCAGAGGTGCATTTTGTGTGATGGAATATTCAAGAAAATTAGAGATATCAAGGGAACATTTCATGCAAAGGTGGGCACAATAAAGGACAGAAATGATATGGACCTAACAGAAGCAGAAGATATTAAGAAGAGGTGGCAAGAATACACAGAACTATACAAAAAATGTTTTAATGACCCCGATAACCACAATGGAGTGATCACTCACCTAGAGCCAGACATCTTGGCATGCGAGGTCAAGTAGGCCTTAGGGAGCATCAGTAGGAACAAAGCTAATGGAGATGATGGAATTCTGGCTGAGGTATTTTAAATCCTAAAAGATGATGCTGTGAAAGTGCTACACTCAACATGCCAGCAAATTTGGAAAACTCAGCATTGGCCACAGGACTGGAAAAGGTCAATTTTCATTCCAATCCCAAAGAAAGGCAAAGCCAAAGAATGGTCAAACTACTGCATCATTGCACTCATCTCACACGCTAGCAAAGTAATGCTCAAAATTCTCCAAGCGAGGCTTCAACAGTACGTGAACTGAGAACTTCCAGATGTTCAAGCTGGATTTAGAAAAGGCAGAGGAACCAGAGATCAAACTGCCAACATCTGCTGGATCATAGAAAAAGCAAGAGAATTACAGAAAAAAATCTACTACTGCTTCATTGACTATGTGAAAGCCTTTGACTGTGTGGATCACAACAAACTGTGGAACATTCTTAAAGAGATGGGAGTACCAGACCACCTTACCTGCCTCCTGAGAAATCTGTATGCAGGTCAAGAAGCAACCATTAGAACCA